AGTGGAAACTGGAATGTGAACAGGGATGATTAAGGTTGTCACTGTCTCCTCAGAGGTTGGGGAATATCCCACCGCAGCCACCATATGTAATGTTGGTTCTTTGATGTGTATTAATTTGTAACTTTACTGGGTCAAGCAGCTATTCTGGTATTTATTTTATTATCACTCAGTCACTGTAGTTCACTCTTATTTCAGGTGTACTCCTACTCTTAGACTGGGCATGTCTTCACTCTGGTTGTGATAAGGGTGAAGAATAGTCTGTGACTGTATCTTAACAGAATATATTCTCAATATCAAATACAGCAACTGCCATGATGAGGGACCTGCCTAGATTAACATTCTAACGCCCAGAGTTTTAAACACCCTCTTCCGTTGAAGAAGGTCGTCGTGTTTCAACCCGAGGGCACCACAGTACAGTACTTGACGGGGTAATGTGGCGGTAACATTAACTAATTCCAATAAAATTAATTTATAATATTATAATTAATTTTACCGCCACACCATCCCGTCAAGTATTGTACTGTGGTGTCCTTTAGGACTCTTTTTTTTTAAACTCGGGTTGAAACATGACGATCTTCTTCAACGGAAGAGGGTGCTTAAAACTCAGGGCGTAGGTGTCTTAACTGGGTCAAGGCTGCTTAAAAACTGACTAAACCCGGGGCACAGATGCCGAGAGTAGAGCGATTATGACTAACAGTAACACGGTAATACTAACATTCACATGATGTGCTCATGTGTTTTTAATTTAAGAGAGCCCGAGATACCAGTAGGGCAATATGAGGAACCCTAAACTAGTAGTTATGAAACTAGTTATGACCTATTCTTAGATACACTAAGCAAAATTAAGATTACAACCTGCGATGGTTTCTTACATGTGTGTGTGTGTGTTTATCCACATCGGGTGCTGCGGTCGGTCGATTTACTGTACACTTGTAGTCAAGCCTCAAGTTGATAATGACACCCTATTCCTGTAAGAATTCTTCAATTTGATTGCAGTGTTCTATTCCAGAGAGAATTTCCCTGGATATAACATAGCATCATGTGAGTATTTAGTACATCAGAGAGAAAGAGAGAGAGAGAGAGAGAGAGAGAGAGAGAGAGAGAGAGAGAGAACTTCAATATTGAGCCCTTGAGAGAATAATAGAAACAAACAAACAGAAAATTGAAGTATCGACACACTACCGACGAATTTTACCTGATGAATCTATTCCTTTGGTTCTACTAGTTTTGTACCCCCACCCCCATCTCCCCACACACTGTTGCTGCCCTAGTGTCACTCGAAATCGAGTATGACTAATTGTTCCCTTCACTTACTAGAATATTCTTTTATTCTCTTCCAGATGCCATACTACCCTTGGTCAGTTATATGAACAATAAAGCCTAGAAAAAGGTCGACTCTAGTCTTCTTTCATTGAAACTGAGTCATAATGGAAAAGAAGTTCCTGAGGCCGGACCGTCTGGATGCTACGCCGAACTCTCCTACAGCTTCAAAGGAGTGGCGCCACTGGTTCCCGACCTTCAACACGTTCCTCACCTCCATTTCTGCTCTCGAGCCCGACAAGCTAGTCACTCTCTGCAACTTCGTCTCTCCATCTGTGTATGAATACATAGCCGACTGTGTCTCGTACGATGCCGCCAACCTGGTTCTGCAAGACTTGTACATAAAGCCGAAGAACGAAGTGTTTAGCCCGTCATCTACTAGCTACCAGGAGGCAACACTCGGGTTAGAGTTTGGACGAATATTTACTGGAACTTTGTCAGCTCAGCAAGGACTGCAATTTCAAAGTTGTCACAGCAGAGGTGGACAACCACGAGTATATCCGCTACACTTTTATCAACGGTCTACTATCTCCAATGATCAGTCAGCGTCTCTTAGAAAACAAGACTCGATTTGGCTACTGCGTTCGACCAGGCTCACGGACTCGATCTGGCTCAAAGAAACTCCGAGTCTCTTCGGTCTCAGGCTCCTATGAACGCTGCCGCTGTTACTTCACCTGAGAAAATCGACAGGGATGACTCTCCCCTCTGAGCTGCCACTCAACAACCAAAGTGTTATTTTTGTGATGGAGCACGGCATAACCTACTTCAGTGTCCTGCGCATAATTCAACTTGCCACAAATGCAACAAAAAAGGCCATTTTGCGATAGTATGCACATCATCTCGTTACTCACCTGCTACTTCATCTTCCACTTGTGCGGTCTTACACTCTCCTACGTTGGCTGCAATATCTGCGACTTCCCCCGGCTGTCTCGCTCAATCTAACATGTATGTGCGTGTTAATGGCGATACAGCTACAGCCCTCACTGATATCAGGAGCTCAAAATCGTTTGTATCAAACTGCTATATCCAGCAGAAGTCTCTGAAGTGTCATCTAGGGTCAGGTCACGTGTCTATGGCCTCGTCTTCCCTATCATTGCCAGTACTAAGTCACTGTACTGTAGACATAAGAACACAAGAACATAAGAAAATAAGGAGTCTGCAATAGGCCGGTTGGCCTGTGCATGGCAGCTCCTGTCGAGAGTTACTGCCACTCTCTATCATCCATGAATCTATCTAGCCTCCTTTTAAAACTTTCCAGCGTTCCATCACTTACTACAAAGTTGCTATGCTTGTTCCACTCGTCCACCACCCTATTTGTGAACCAGTTCCTTCCTATCTCCCTCCTAAAGCTAAACTTATCCAACTTAAATCCGTTGCTACGAGTCCTATCCTGCTCGGATATTAAAAGAACTTTATCTATATTTCCTCTATTGATTCCTTTCACCCACTTAAATACTTCTATCATAACACCCCTCAAGGAGAATCTCTATCCAGATACTCGACTAACTGTTTTTCCCGACCTATGCAGTGACGTTATTCTTGCTCAAGATTTCATGAGCCTACATAGGGCACAGCAGTAAGTGTCAATATCCTCTATTTTTAATATTTTCAATTTAGGAAATTGTTCGTTAGTGTGTTAAATTTTTTCAAGTAGGTCATTGTTTGCACAACTCTCTTCTGTGCAATGATCAGGCGTTGTGTTTTTGTAGAGCCAGAGGTCCTCCATAGAGTGTGACAGTGTATCAAGTGTTGGTAAACAAGATCATAATAGATATCTTTCATTGCTGTAAGAGTGACTGACGAGTGTGCTACAGGATACTACGTTGTTTATTGACTTTACTGTAGATGGCTTGTATGTGGTTTCTTCAGCTAAGTTTCTTATCAACAATAACCCAAGGAATTTAATATTGTGTTTGAGCTTGGGGACTGTATTACCAAGGCACAGGGGGTCCAAATATGGGGGCAGGTTTTTCCTTCTGTGAAAGATTGTGTAATGTTGTTTTTCGAGGTTAAAGGTAAATTTATTACATGTTACCCAGGTCCTGACTTTACTCAATTCAGCATTTATCGTTCTCATCAAGGAATGGAGATCTGAGTTGTTGACATTGAGATTACTATCATTTGCAAATAATTTGTATTTGACGAGTGCGCTTCGGGTTCTGTGAGGCAGATAATGGACATACGAGTAAACATTATCTAGCAGCTCTTGCAGTCAGGTACTTACAGAGCTCTAAACAAACCCCAACGACGGAATAAGTGGAAGAAGTGACCGACACGGGAACCCAATTGTTATTCTGGTGGATGAAGGTAATGCAAGATGGACAGGCGACTAAGGCGAAACCCAACAAACTGGGTTATCGGCAGTCCTCATTTGCTGCAGTTCTCTGCAAACTGGATCAGGAAAGGGGAGAGCCAAGATATGTGGTAGCAGCCTGCGCTCCTGCCTCACCACATGAATCAACTCAAGCACAGCCATCATCCAGTTTATCAGAACCCCTAAGCCCTCAAAAGTCCCAAGGTGACAGACGGGTGGCGACTGGGACAGTCGGAGATGGTTACTAGGAGTCCCTAGTCACAACTTTGCACATGGGTGGTGCAGATAAGATGGTCGTCTATACCCTGGGATCTAGGCAGCAGTGCAATCCTGTCCTGTCTGTTTGATTGAGCAACCCTTTCCAAGAACCATTCTGTTCACCCTACATGGGGAGGTGGCCTAGAAAAAGGTGTCCTAAACATAGCCTGCCTAAAAACCCAACCTGACTGGGTAACCGCACCCAGTAAGGTCATCTAATGTGGTTGAAAACATTATAACAGATCGAAAATATAAACAAAAGCTATGCAGCCTTTTATGGTTGCGGCATGGCATAACAATGCCAGTCTGGATACTGACATACATTAGCGTCTTCATAGAAGAACCGCCCTTGTGGCAAAATAACTGTCCGTGATCAACATCGATATAGCAACTACAGTATTAGTGAGTCCTGGCTCCCACACGAGGGTCGATTCACAGTAAAGGGGTCCGGCTATACCTTCTTCTGGAAGGGAAGCCTGCTGCAGAGAGAAACCGCATTAATGGATTTGGCTTTGCCATTCACCAATCACTCCTACATACGCAGACTGAAATGCCTGTTAGGGTTAACGGGCGCCTCATGACGCTCCGAGTCACATTGAGTTACTCACGTGAAGCCTCCTTCATGAGTGCATACACCTTAACTTGGATGCAGAGAATGATATTAAGGAGGCTTGTTACGCCGCCTTGACAGAGTGCTAACCTCTATCCCCAAAGTAGATGAGGTTGTGGTCCCAGGCGATTTCAATGCCACATTTGGCAGAGATGCTGACCCACGTCAGGGAACCATACGGTGAAACAGAGCTGGCAAGTGTAAGCCCAACGACCTATTCCTCTTCAGCAAGTGTGCCGAACACAGCCTCACTATCACCAACACCTTGTTTAGGTCGGTCGACAAGTTCAAAGGTTCTTGGCAACACCCATGATCCAAACATTGGCATCTCATTGACGACATCATTATCAGAGAAAGAGATCACCGAGATATCCTCATCATCAGAGTCATGCTTGCCTCATGTCGCCCCTCAATGGCGAAAACAACAAGCTACCAGAAGCGATTTCAACACCAAGTGACTACAGGAACAAGCGGTAGAACATGCTTTTAGAGAACAACTCAACGAGGGGCTGATAAATAACCCAACAACAAAACCTGAGACCGAGTGCCAAATTGGGTTCCCTCAAAACTGTCAACACAAAAACCTGCAGCAAGATCCTCGGCCACATCAGATGAAAACACCAGGGATGGTTTGGTGAAAATAGCCAGGAAGTCAACGTACCCTTCTCTGGTAAACGTGCTGCATTCGTTGACTGGAAAAAACACCGTCAGCATCAAAGCAAAGCTGATATTTTCCGCGAGAAGAAAGCACTGACCGAGCTCAAACTCCGGGAAATGAAGGATTAATGATGGACTAAAAAAGTGAGTGAAACGTAAAAATTCGCACATAAACACCAGATACGCAAATTTTGCAATTCTACTAAAGTAATCTATGACCCAGCTACTCATGGCGAGGTGCCAATCCGCTCATCCGACGGTAACTCCCGCATTAAAGAAGAAGAGGGCATCCTTCAGTGCTGGAAAGAGCACCCTGGGTAACCGAAACATCGATATTTCCTAACTTGCCAAAAGGTCCTTAAGCACCCAGAGCTGGCACACCTCAGCTATCCTCTATCCTGTGATGAAGTATCCGCTGCCATCAAATAGATAAACAAAACAAAACAAAAATCCACAGGGCCTGAAGGAATCCCAGTAAGGTGCATAAAGCAAGAGGATCTGTGCTTACCAGCCGTCTCCATACTCTCCTGGAGAAAGTATGGGAAAAAGAGGAAATCCCAAAGATCTTAAAGATGCCTCCATCGTTAATATCTTTAAGAACAAGGGAGACAGGTCAGACTGTGGTAACTACGGCAGTATTGCAGTATACAGTCTAATGCAAGCAAGACTATTGTTCGAATCCTCTTAAACACGTCCATGATGGCATGCACATCAGTGTCGTGCATAATGGCACCTAGTTTGAGGTAAAACAAGAATATTTACTGGCACCGACTCTCCTTTCCATCTTCTTGACTGCCTTCTTTACCCAGACCAATCTAGCTGGAAGGGTGGTCATCCAATACCGGAAGAAGGGTGTCTTTAACATAAAACGACTCCAGGCAGTAACAAAGGTGTCGGCCGGTTCCATCACTGAACTTCAGTATGTAAATACCATCACCCTCGTCGGTTAACTACGCAGATGCGTATGCATACTTCGACCTTGAGGTGAACGTATGTAAGACATTCTCTCTCGGCCTGCTCCTGGTTCAGCCACACCTCCACCACCCATCCAGGTTAATGGTACTACCCTCTCCAATGTTAACAACTTCCTTAGCATCCATCTGTCCACCACCTCAGATTTCAATGAAAAGATTCAACATCGGATCAGATGCGCGTTTCAAGCCTTTTCCAGACTCTGTACCCGTTTCTTCACCTGTAAGGAACTAAAATTATCTACAGATCTGCACATATATCGATCAGTGGTCCTCCCCACCGTGCTGTATGGCAGCAAGACATGGGTCACATACAGGAAGCACTTCAAGGCACTTGATAACTTTCATCAAAGTAGTGTATATGCCATCCACCGAATTCACTGGGAAGACAAGTGAACAAATGGCAACATCCTCGCTTACAACAATTGCTGGAGCATCGAGGCTGACATTATCCATGAACAATTATATTGGACTGGTCAGGTTACCCACATGGGCAACAGTAGACCATCAAACCAGCTACTCTACTGTCACATATAGAATGGTGGGCAAAAGAAAAAATGTAGTCTTAAGATAAACTTAAAAAAGTGCCAAATTGACACTTCACCTGGGAGACGACCACTCCACACCATAATGCTTGGAGGAGCGCCGCACGAGAAGGTATCAATACTTTCGAGTTAGCCTTCCTGTTTATGGAGTTAGATAAGGGCCAGCGCCCAAAATGACGCTGTCGTCGCCACTAATGCATTAGAAGTACCCCTCCACACATGCAAAATATGCAGACGGCCCTGCCGGTCCCGTATAGGCCTCTCGAGACACCTCAGAGCTCACCAACGAAGGTGACGTCATTAAACATCATATCGTTATGTCATCGCTGGATGATCGTCATATCCGATTCCGAGTGACAGTAAGTGGTGTAGTAGTATATAAAACATTACTAGTCGGACTTGGGAGCTATTACATAAACAATAAGCTAACATAATTTTCCTCCTTTAGTAAAACTACAGCAAATACTGTTTGTACACTTTGCTTTCTTAACTTAAACAAAATTTTATCATGCAAATAATACCTGTAGATGACTGGAGTCCTGTGATTCAGCACAGCTCAGCGTCCAACAAAGATTTATTACAATATTTACAGTAACCCAAATAAAACTGACCGACTTCGTGTAGAAAATAAATGAAAGACTATACTTTTCAATTCACTGATTATATTAATACAGTTTGTTGATCTTTCTGTTATTAGTGTTGACCATAAAACAAACAAGTCGAGGTCAGTACGTGATTTGAATACCGCTCCGTATTTCGCGTGACACCTGGAGGCAAAATGGAGGAAGTGGAGGAAGGGTTGACGTGAATAAATAAAGTAAGATTAATTATCTTAGACTAATCCTTCAGAAACTTAGATATATTAGCTTAAGTCTGGCTGGTGCAGATGCCCCTCTCCTTTCTATGAGTTTAACCTATCACAGCAATATCTAATAATTATGACACATTACCTGAACGTCCTTTGCATTATAAACACGTTGGCGCTGACTATAAAAACACAAATTTACATAATTCAGCAAATGTAATTATAATCTATATTTAAAAAAGTAAAAAAAGAAAGATAGCTCAAAAACAATTAAATACGTAAAATAATTTAAAATTATATAAGTAACCAAATAAAATGCTAACTATAAATAAAAGTATTCATGAAAAAAAAAACCCGATTCAAACAAAAGTACAGGCTTTGTAATTGAACAGACAAATATTAAAAAATACTGGAAAAATAATGACATAGGTTATATAAAACTATTAAAAATGATTCTGCTCCCTCGTGCGTCACATCATTACTCACAACCATAATGTTTTAGCTACAAAGTTTGGCGGCCTCCATCAACACCGATCAAATTCAGTACTGCCTCGAAAACTTCATCTAACTCGTGGAATACTATAAAATCCATTAAATTTACCATTAATGTATTATTAATCTTGGTTGATTAATTATGATCACTATACAATAGAAGCAAGGAGAGAGAAGCAAAAAGAAAGAGGTATAGAGAGAGAGAGAGAGAGAGAGAGAGAGAGAGAGAGAGAGAGAGAGAGTGTGTGTGTGTGTGTGTGTGTGTGTGTGGACGCGTTCTGGCGCCTACCAATCATTGCCCCGCTGCCTTGCTGGTTAACCCCGCATCAGGCAGACATGCTTACAGAGGTCCAACAAGACCCCAACGGCGGTATAGGCGGAAGAGGTGACCACCATAGGAACCAAACGACTACACCGGCGGACGAAGGCAATGCCTAATGGAAAGGCTACTAAGGCAAAACCCAACAATCTGAACTATTGGCAGTCCATTGCAACTCTCCCTCTCCCCAGTCATTGCAACACTTGTACCACTGGATCAAGAAAAGGGAGAGCCAAGATGTGTGGCTGTAGCCTGCGCTCCTGCCTCACTACATAAATCAACTCACACGCAGCCATCATCCAGTTCATCTTACCCCTCGTCATCATCAACCTCCCAAAAGTCCTATGGCGACGGACGAGTGTCGACGGGGACAGGCAGATGACTGCCGGGAGGCTTTAATCACAACTCTGCACTTGGGCGGCATAGAAAAGATGGACATTTATGCACTGGGATCTAGGCAGCAATGCAATTCGGTCCTGTCTGTGTGACTGAGCAACCACTTCGAGGAGCCACTCTGCTCACCTCACATAGGGAGGAGGCTTGAAAAGGTGCCCTAAACGTAGCCTGCCAAAAAAAACAACCTGGCTGGGCAACCGCACATTGTAAGGGCGGAAACGATCTTCCTGCTCGTTACTGCTGCTAACTCTCTCGTTTGCTGGTGAGAACGGCAGCGGCTACCTGTGTCACCGGCAGATTCACCCCATCCGCCATACAGTCACTATCTAGCTACCCGGCTGTTCGTCAAATTCTGGCTGTGATTTCATCATAGATCCTGAACTCGTGGGCTGTTTTCCCAGACCTTCACCTGTCGACTGTCAATTCTCTGGACATCAACCACTACCGCTGCTCCTCTCCACCGTCGGTGCCCCAGGTGTCTCGTCTGCTGTATCAAGACATCGGCCGCTGTCGCTCGAGTGAGGTTGAACGGACGCTTCCCCCCCCTGAGAGTGGATCACTGTGTTCTGGAACCTTCCCCAGGGCCACTGTAGTAGGAAATATCTGTTCATTGTTTGATTCCATTAATTGTTTGAATCTATTAATTGTTGACTCCCATTAATTGTTTGCTTCCCTTTAATTGTTTGCTTCCTTTAATTGTTTGCTCCCCTTAATTGTTTGACTCCATTAACTGTTTACTGCATTAAGTGTTTGACTCCCGTAATTGTTATTTGATGTTTGTTGAGTGGTGTCAGAGTTTTCTGTTATATTTTTTATAGTAAAGAGATGTCAATCTCAAACGGTTGTTTGTTATTCCTCAGAAAACCATGGTCCTTGATTTTCCTTTATTAAGATCCTGATTAGTCTGGTAAGGGATTTATATCTCAAAGTCCCAGGCCTTTACCCACACATAGTAAGGTAATCCTTATGCTATCGAAAACACAATGAAAATCACACATCCAAACAAAAACAACTATGCAACCTCCTATGAGTTGTCAGGACCCTTCTGGATTCTGGCACAAATGAGCGTCATGAAAGAAGAACCACCCTTGTGGCAAGAGCTGGCTAGGTATGACATCGACATAGGAGCCATTAGTGAGTCCCGGCTCCCAGACGAGGGTCAACTCACAGAACAGGGGTCAGGCTACACCTTCTTCTGGACGGGTAAGCCTGCTGCAGAGAGAAACTGCATTTAGGGAGTTGGCTTTGTCATCCGCCAATGCATCCTCCTAGGGGCGAACAAAAATGCCTATTGAGATCAACAAGAGCCTCATGACGCTCCGAGTCTCACTCAATCACTCACATCATGCCATTTTCTTCAGTGCATACGCCCCAAAACTGAATGCAGAGGATGACATCAAAGAGGCATTTTATGCCGTCCTTAACAGAGTGCTAACCTCTATCTCAAGAAAAGATAAGGTGGTGCTCCTTGGTGACTTCAATGCCAGATTTTGGCAGAGAAGCTGACATTTGGCAGGGAACCATAGGGAGAAATGGATTAGGCAAGTGTAATCCCAACGACATACTCCTCTGCAGCAAAAGTGCTGCACTTAATCTCACTATCACCAACTCTTTGTTTGGGCAAGCAGACAAGCTTAAAGGTTCGTGGCAAGACCCCCGATCCAAACACTGGTATCTCATTGACTACATCATTGTCAGAAAAAGAGATCGCCCAGATCTCATCATCCGAGCCATGCGTGGCTCAGATCACTGCGACGCTGATCATCGGTTTGTCAGAGCCAAGCTCTCACTTCACGTCGCCCCAAAACGGCGAAGGGAGCAATCCTCTGGAAGAAGTTTTAACACAAAGCGTGTGGAGGATCCAGTGGTAGCACATGCTTTCAGAGAGCAGACTGAACATGGGCTGATAAGCAACCCGAGAACAATCAACCCAAACCCCAGTGCCGAATGGAATATTCTTGACACTTATGACAAAACCCTGCAGAGAGACACTCGGCCAGATTGAAAGAATATACACCATGACTGGTTTTATGAAAATGATCCGGCAATCAATGTATTCGCCGATGATAAAAGTGCTGCTTTAAATGACTGGCAGAACAACCCTTAGTCTCTGACCAAAGCTGATACCTTCCTCAAGAAGAAAGCGGCGGCCCAGCGGGAACTTCGCAATCTAAAGAACGACTGGTTTAAAAATAAACCATGTGAAACGCAAAAATCTGCAGGACAGTACAAATGCGCGAATTTTTATATTCCACTAAAACATTTTATGGACCAATCACTCGTGGCGCAGCCTCCCTCTGCTCATCCGACGGTAACTTCATAATTAAAAATGATGAAGGCCTCCGTTAGCACTGGAAAGACCAATACCATTCACTGCTAAACCGAAACACCGAGGTGGATTTCCTGACTACCCAGCAGGTCCCTCAGCATCCAGAGCCGACCGATCATGGCTATCCTCCATCCCTGGATGAGGTGGCTACTGCCATCGAACAGATGAAAAATAACAAAGCCTCATGGCTTGATGCAATCCCAGCCGAGGTATATAAAGCTGGAAGACTTCTGCTTACCAGTCGTCTCCACTCTATCCTGGATAATATATGGGAAAAGGAGGAAATCCTCATGCTCTTAAAGATGCCTCCATTGTCAATATTTATATTAACAAGGGAGACCAATGAAATTGTGACAACTACCGCGGGATCTCGCTGCTGTCCATAGCTGGCAAGATTATCGCCTGAGTCCTCCTAAACCGACTTCTTCTTGAGGCGGAAAACTTCCTCCCAAAATCTCAGTGTGGCTCTAGACCAGTGGTTCTTAACCTTTTTTGAGCCACGGACCCCTTTGAGAATCTGGTGAAAGCTATGGACCCCCTCCCTAGAAAAATGCACATAAGCACAACTTTGCATGCAATGAATATACTTTATTGTATTGAAAATTCATTGCCTAATACAGTGTATGACATACACAAAGTATGAATAAAGTAAACAATCTTAACAAAGAATTATGTTTCACACTTTTTTATGCAAAAATTAATGGCCACTCCATACAAAAATTAAATACAATCGTCTTGTGCAAATTAAAGAAAACAAAACTTTAATTCTGCTCAAAAGTTCATTTCAATGAGAAGGTTGTTGTTGTTTGGCTTGAATAAGAAGATGAAACTGTGGAGTGGTCTTTGACAAGGTAACACGCATGTCATCTTTGACATCCAATCGATTTCGAATTTTCGTTTTGATAGAAACAAGTGCTGAAAACCCTGACTCACAAAGGTATGTAGTAGCAAACGGAATCAGAGCACCCATAGCTCGCTTTACCAGACGAGGGTAGGCTTGTGTCAACGCACACCAGAATTCTCCAAGGCTCTTCGAGTTGAATTCATTTCGTAACTTTTCCTTTTTCTTCAGGTCAATGAGGTCATCTTTGGCAAGGTCTTCATCACTGATACAGTCTATCTCGGCAAGGAAAGGATTACGAATCCACGTTTCAACTTTAAGGTCACCTGAGCAGAAGTAACCTTTGAAAGAGTTCTGCAGAGTCTCAAGATGTCTGCAGAATTCTACCTACAGAGAAATTGACAGGGCCTTGTCACTCTCGATTCCATCCTGCAGAAGCACTTCCTCTAACATTGGAAAGTTTGCATAGTTGTCTGCCTCCAACCTCCGCTTTCACAGTGGCAGCTTGGCCAGAAAAGCTTGCAGTTATTCAGCAGCATCCATAATGGTGACTCCAGGGCCTTGAATCGCAAGATTCACCTCATTCATATGGCCAAAAATATCCGCAAAGTAGGCCAAGCCATGAATGAACTCCTCACTGTCAAACTGTACTGAGAGTGGGCTTTCCTTTTCTCTCAAAAAAAGTGAAACTTCTGCTCGAAGTTCAACCAAGCGCTTCAAGATTTGTCCTCTGGAAAGCCAGCGAACTTCTGTGTGGTAGAGAAGAACTTCATATTCTGCTCCCATTTCTTCAGAAAACCTCTTGAAAACGCGATGGTTCACAGCCCTGGCTCTGATGAAGTTGACGACTTTCATGTCAGTAGACAAGACTTCTTTCAGAATTGCTGGCAGAGTCTTTGACGCCAATACATGCCGATGTAGAAAACAATGGGTCACGATGACCTGAGGAGCTTCTTTCTTCACCAAAGCAGCAAAACCAGATGTGGTGCCAAGCATCGCAGGTGCTCCGTTTGTGCACAGAGTACCAAGATTTTTCTTCCAGTCGAAGTTTTGCTTGGCAAAGAAACTATTCACCATTTCTAAGATGTCGATGGCCTTTGTACTTTCCAAAAGAGGCTCACAAAATAGGAATTCTTCTTTGATGGCATCAGCATGCATATAACAGACGAAAACCAGGAGCTGGCTGCACTGAGAGACGTCAGTAGTTTCATCCAGTTGCATGCTGAACGGAAAAAAATATAGTGAATATAAATGTTAATTTTTTATCTGACCTTCACGGACCCCCTGAAACCCATCCATGGACCCCCAAGGGGTCCATGGACCCCAGGTTAAGAACCCCTGCTCTAGACCATCACATGACACCACTGACATAATCTTTGCTACCCGCCAAATTCAGGAAAAGTGCAGAGAACAGCGTCGTTACCTGTACATGGGTTTCATCGATGACCTAACCAAGGCCTTCGATTCGGTCAACAAGGAAGCCCTCTGGTGAACCCTCAGTCATTTTGGCTGCCCACCAAAATTCATCGACATTGTGAGGCAACTCCATGATGGCATGAACGGCAGTGTCCTGTGCAATGGCACAAACTCTCTTTTCCATTTTCTTGGCTGCCTTCCTTACTCGTGCCAGTGCAAATTTAGCCGGCGAGGGTGGACTTCGAATACCAGATGAAGAGTCTTTTGAACATAAAAGGACTCCATGCAGGAACAACGGTGTCGGCAGCTTCCATTACTGAACTTCAGTATGCAGACGACCCCACCCTTGTCACTCACACTGAATGCAACCGGCAAACGATCCTGAATACTTACACAGATGCGTATGCAGACTTCGGCTTGAGGTGAATGTATGTAAGACTCAGATTCTCTTTCAGCCAGCCCCTGGTTCAGTCACACCTCCACCATCCATCCGGTTTAACGCAATTGCCCTCTTTAATGTTACCCACTTTCGGACATCGATGAACAGATTCGGCATCGCATCAGATGTGTATCTCAAGACTTGAGCAGACTCCGAAACCGTGTCTTTAGCTGTAGGGAGGTGAAATTATCTACAAAGTTACAAGTATATCAAGCAGCGGTCCTTCCCACCCTGCTATATGGCAGAGAGACTTGGGTCACATACAGGAGGCACCTCAAGGCACTTGAAAACTTTCACCAACGTAGACTACGTTCCATCCTCCGAGTTCGTTGGGAAGACACCAACTGTAGAAGCATCGAGGCTTCCATTATCCATGAATAACTACGCTGGACTGGCCGTGTTACCCGCATGGACGACAGTAGACTGCCAAAGCAGCTACTTTACAGTCACCTAACGAATACTAAACGTAACCCTGGTGGGCAACTAAAAAGGTATAAGGATAGTCTTAAGAAAAACCTGAAAAAGTGCCAAATTGACCTTCTAACATTGGAGACGATTACTCCACACCATAACGCTTGGAGGAACATCACACGAGGTGTCAATACTTTCGAGTTAGCCCGATTGCATTACGAAGCAGACAAGCACCAACGCCGGAAAGACGCTGTCGCCTCCCCTCCAGCATTGAAATTAAAGGAAGAGATGGTGAGGATGAAGGAAGAAGGTGAGACAAGGAAAGCCCGTGTCTGACGAAAACTCAGGCGAATAGAAGGTTGTGAGGAGAGGGACGACCAAACTGGTGGTGAAAAAACACACCAAGGATACGACAACAACGACAACAACAGCTAAGTGTACCAACTCGTTCAATCCCTTGATAGACGAATTGGACTTTAGTGCAGTCAGGGACAGGGCTGACAACGAAGGTACAAAAACTTTAATTGTTGGCGACTCACTGGTACGGTACTTGGACAGAGCTTTTTGTGATAAAAATGAAAATAGGATGAGGGTTTGTTTGCCAGGAGCTGGGGTGGTGGATATAGTTGACAGGATGGACAATATCTTGTTTGGTCATGGGAACAAACCCATTATCTGCCTCAGTGCAGGAGGCAATGATATTGGCCGGTGTAGGAGCGAGGAGCTTCTTGATAAGTTCAAGGCAGCTATAGATCGTATTATGACTAAGGGAGGGATCCCTATCATATGTGGTGTCCTGCCTAGAAGGAGAGTTGGCAATGAATGGTTGTCAAGGGCAGTTGGTATCAACGGCTGTCTTGACAGATATTGCAAGTCAATATCAGTCCCATTCATTGACAACTGGGACAACTTCTACGGCAGAAGGGACCTTTATGGTATGGATGGGGTGCACCTGTCTCGGGATGGGGTGGCAACCCTGGCTGGGTCTATAGAGGGGGCAGTTCAAAAGATATCGAAGTCTTTAAACTACTAGGGGAAAGATATGGGCACGGGGGTGGAGGAGACTGCAGTGGGAGTGGGTAAACAAAGTGAAATATTACAGGGAAATAGTGTTAGGAAACTAAATTAGACAGGGAGTTAAAACCTAAATGCGGTAAAGGGAGGACTCAGAACACGACTAACTTAAATGTCTACTACACGAACAGTAGAAGTATGAGAAACAAAATGGATGATTTTAGGGCCTTGGTATGTAACGAAAAAATCGATATAATAGCATTCACTGAAACATGGATCAACCTAGACTCACATGAGTTACCTGTCGAATACCAAATTGCAGGTTACAAATTATTCCATACCGATAGGCAGATCAGGAAAGGAAGCGGAGTAGCAATCTATGTCAAGGATAATCTGAAGTGTGAAATATATAAGGAAATAAAAACTGAGCAGAATACAGAAACAATTTGGATAGAATTAATCGACGGTAGGGAAAAATTAATCACAGGAGTAATATATAGACTTCCCAATTGTGAAGGCCTGGGACTTAGGGATATAAATCCCTTACCAGACTAATCAGAATCTTAATAAAGGAATGTCAAGGACCATGGTTTTCTGAGGAAGAACAAGCAACCGTTTGAGATTGACATCTCTTTACTATAAAAAATATAACACAAACCTAACACCACTCAACGAACATGAAGTAACAATTACGGGAGTCAAACAATTAATGCAGTAAACAGTTAATGGAGTCAAACAATTAAGGGAAGCAAAAAATTTAAGGAATCAAACAATAAATGGGAGTCAGCAATTAATGGAATCAAGCAATTAATGGAATCAAACAATTAATGGAATCAAACAATTAATGGGAGTCAACAACTGATAGAATCGAACAATAAAAGGGAGTTAGCAATTAATGGAATCTAACAACAATAGAATCAAACAATGAACAGATATTTCCTACGGCAGTGGCCCTGAGGAAAGTTCTGGAATGCAGTGATCCACTCTTAGGGGGATGGTCCTTTCAACTACTCACTCGAGCGACAGCGGCCGATGTCTTGATACAGCAGGAGAATACCGGTGCACAGACGGAGGAGATGAACTGACGGTCGTGGTATGGGGTAGTGGTTGATGTCCAGAGAATTGATAGTCGATAGGTGAAGGTCTGGGGACACAGCCCACGAGTCCCTAGCCTTGATGAGATCACAGCCAGAATTTGACGAACAGCGGGGGAGGTAGTGACTGTATGACGGCTGGGGTGAATCTGCCGGTGACCAGGGCTGTCGGAATTTCTGAATCTTGTTTACCGAACACGCTGATTGGTTCAACTGTTCGCGTTGTGATTGGTTGCGAGTCCATGACGTAATTACTATTTTCTATAATATAATGTCTGGTGAGGGGTAACGAAGATCCCAGATACAGTAATTATATTAGAGTAGTCTTCATACTCAGTGAATTTCATTGTTCCTGTCATTAGATTTATAAATTTCTGAATAATAACCACTGCATTATACACCATTCAGAGTGTTATATGAGATCACATTGGAACAGACCGTTGGTTTCCTTGTCTCGACTCTCGATATCGCTTCGTGTGTCACTCAGCAGAATATAATTCTGCTAAAATATCGCTAGTAAAGTGTAGGTAAGGTAATTAAATACATCTAAAATTTATTTATGTGTATTCTATATGGTATTTTAGCCATGAAAAAACATATTTCCTAAACTCGGTAATTTACGGACTGTCGGAGCAGTAACGTCACGGCTTACCGACTACGTCATCAATTAACCGATTATCAGATGAAGTACCGGATTTGAACCAATCAGTGTGTTCTATAAACAAGAGTCGGAAATTCCGACAGCCCTGCCGGTGACACGGATAGCAGCAAACCTCCTCACCTCCGTCCAACCCCGGCAAGTGGGGGTCGAACCAGCAAACGAGAGAGTTAGCAGAGGTAATGAGCGGGAAGATTGTTTCCGACCTTACACCAATCTTGATAGAGTTAATGAGCCACTTATCTGGGATAAAATGTGCAGGGCTTCCATACACAACTGAGTCTGTATAGTAGGCGACTTTAACCTTGGCCAAATAGTTTGGATTGACCTTACCGGTAACTCAGACTCAGAGGATTTTCTTGAAACGATCCAGGACTGTTTCCTAAGTCAACATATAACCAAACCCACCCTGAGTAATAATATACTCGATTTAGTTCTGTCCAACAGAGAAAACCTCATTAGCAATGTCGAGGTAGGGAACGAACTTGCAAACAGAGATCACAAAGAAATTAGATTCCAGTTAGATTTTCAGGGCAGAAGTAAGGAAAATTCCACAAAAGTCCCAGATTTCAGAAAGGCAAACTTTGATAGTTTGAAGAGGCAGTTGAGAGAAGGGGTATCACACTTGGAGGTGAACTACACAGACCTCACCCCACCCATGAACCTGATGGTTGAAACAGACCTGATAACGAGATCTGAGGTTGCCGAGTTCCACGACAATTTAAATAATGAGTTACTTAATGCACAAAGGCAGAACATACCATACAAAAAATCAGATCAGACAACAATGACCCTAAATGGATAAATAATTATTTAAAGAACATTATTGGCCAAAGGAAGGCTATAGGTAGAAGGATATATCGTGGCGAACTTTACCTCCCGGGTTTAGACCGAGATAAGGAAAGCAAAGAGGAATAATGAGGTGAAGATAGCACGGGAGGCAATGACAAACCCCAAAGGATTCTATGAAATGTATCAAACTGAAACACGAGAAAACATTGCACCAATACAGTCAGATACCAGCGAGGTAACTGATTACGATGGGAAAATAGATATCTTTCAACAGTTTTCACCACCGAAAATTTAAACATGATACCCGAGGCACCGACTCTATTCAGAGATAGTGAAGAAAAAAATTAAGCGAGATAGTAGTGACTAGTAACGATGTTAGTAAGCAAATAGACAAACTAAAGCCTAATAAGTCACCTGGTCCCGATGAGATATTTGCCAGAGTATTAAAGGAATGCAAGGAAGAGCTTAGTATGCCCTTGGCAAAGTTGTTTAGTATGTATTTAAAAACAGGTGTAGTACCAGAATCCTGGAGGATAACGAATGTAATACCGATTTTCAAGAAGGGGGATAGATAACTATCCTCTACCTGTAACTACCGTCCAATCAGTCTAACAGCAATAGTAGGCAAATTACTGGAAGCAATCACTTCAAACTCTATTCGACATCACCTGCAGGAGCACCAATTGATCAATGATTCCCAACATGGCTTCATAAGTGGGCGTTCATGTCTAACTAATCTATTAACATTCTTTTCATCAGTTTTCGAATCTGTGGATGAGGGGCACAATTATGATGTGGTATATCTCGACTTTAGTAAAGCCTTCGACAGAGTCCCTCACGAAAGACGAATTAGAAAGGTAGAAGCACATAGCATCAAAGGTAATAGACTTAAAGGGATTAGGGCGTGGTTACAGGACAGGAAACAGCTAGTGAGCATTAACGGCACGAAATCCCATTGGAGCAAGTTCACTAGTCGAGTTCCCCAAGGCTCAATACTTGGACCATTATTATTTATTATATACATAAACGACATAGGTGACACTAAAATAGGAGGTGTAATTAAATCTGATGAGGACTCAGCAAAACTACAGGAAGATCTAAACAAAGTTTTCGAATGGTCTGAAAAATGGCAGATGAAATTCAATGTG